GTAAGAGGGGGAGGGGGGTTGGGTTTCAGGTTTCAGGTAAGAGGGGGAGGGAGGGGGTTGGGTTTCAGGGGGGGGAGGGGGGTTGGGTTTCAGGAAAGGGGGGGGAGGGGGGGAGTTGGGTTTCAGGAAAAGGGGGGGGGGGTTGGGTTTCAGGGAGGGGGGGGTTGGGGGAAGGGGGGGGGGGGTTTCAGGTAAGAGGGGGGGAGGGGGTTGGGTTTCAGGTAAGAAGGGGGGGGGGGGTTTCAGGAAGGGGGGGGTTGGGTTTCAGGAAAGGGGGGGGTTGGGTTTCAGGAAAGGGGGGGGGGCTCATTTTTCGGAGGTAAGAAGGATGCTCGTATGTATGCGCGCGCGTGCACGTGTGTGTGTGTGTGTTGTGCCTTAGCCGATGTTCCACGTTTGATTTCTTAGTAAGTTCAAGTTCGTTCGCTCTCGGAAATGTCCTTCTCTAATTTTTCAAACTTTGCAAACGATTTTTCGAAGAAGCGACGCGGGATCCGGTTGGCTTCAGGGCGAGGAAGCCTCCTGGAGGATTTTGCGAAGCGGGTCGAAGGAGGATGGCGTCTTGGGAAGGCTTGGAAGGAAGGGCATCGTGGGAGAGGGACTGTGAGGAGGGATTTAAGGATATGTGAATGTATATTTATATATTTACACATACATACATATATATATATATATATATATATATATATATATATATATATATATATATATATATATATAATATATATATATATATATATATATATATACATGTATATATATACGTATGTGTGAATATATATATATATATATATATATATATATATATATATATATATATATATATATATATATATGTGTGTGTGTGTGTGTGTGTGTGTGTGTGTGTGTGTGTGTGTGTGTGTGTGTGTGTGTGTGTTGTGCGTGAGTATGCCTGGGCGTATGTATATCCAGACGTGTAACGGCAAAAAGAGCCGAGAGAGCAGACGCATGATCCAGGGAACACAGCTGTCTGAGGGATTCTGGGTACATCCGGGTACACGCTCTCTCGCCCTTCGTTTGCGCTCATCCGGGATCTAACGCAGAGTGACGCATGGCTGATGTCTGTGCAATTAGGTCGCGGTGGAGTGTTTGGGGAAGAAAAGAGAGAGAAAGGGAGTATTTTAAGACAGCGTTGAAGACCGGAAGAGAGGGACTTTCGCGAGATAAAACGAGGCTGATACACCGCTGTTCTCCAGGGTACATCTGCGGCGCCCTGGGTTCGCTGGCGGCGCCGAAATTGATTCAGTGTTGTTGACGATAAATTGATGGACACAGAAATTTAAAAAATACAGCTTTGTGTACACAGAGACAGAGATGGACTCTCTGTCTCGGTGTAAATAAAGCTGTATTTCTTTGATGCTGAAACGAGTGGATGTTTCAGGGTAGAAGGAAAAATAGATTATTGATGTGAGCAAAATTTGCTGCAGTATTTGTGTGTGTGTGTGTGCGCGCGCGTGCTTGGGAGAGTGTGTATGCCTGTGTGCATGTGGATTTCATACGCGCTCTCATGTGCGTACGAACGAGAGTCGTACCATCGCATTTCCAGCTTGTGACTCACGAGACTATTTCCGGGTCGCGCGATCAAGCGACCGTTGCGTAGAGGGTTGCCAGTGCGTAGATAAACGAGTCCAAGGTACGCCCGGGGGCATTTTGAGGCATTAGGTCTCCTTTCTCGCAGGAAACGAAAGATCCAATTGTCTCGAGATGTTTCGGACGGCGGCGCGAACGGGCCGCCGGGCGAGCGTCTCCGAGAGAGAGAGAGAGAGAGGCGCTGCGGCGACGCCTCCGTTGCCGAAGATTCAGCAGCTTTAGACATTTTAAGGCAAAGGTTTCTGTGTGTGTGTGTCTATATATGTAGGTATATGCATATGTATGCGTGCGTGTGTGCACCCGCGCACGCATTTTGTATGTATGTATATAATGAATATATATACACATATACATATACAAGACGTATGAGGGGGGGGGGGGGGAATGAATGAAAGAATACAAGTGATAGCGGAGGAGTGTCGAAGGCGTTGTGAGTATTATCATAGTTATTAGACATTACTTGAAGAAAAGTATTGCAATTATACTAATAGTTATGGTTGATATGAATTTCGAAAAAGTATTGTAGCTCCGCACTCCCCTGTATGCACTGCCATCTGCCGTTGAAACCTGTAAGCTCCAAGATAAGCACAAGGAGGAGGCTTTGGCTTCCGTCACACATGATTCTGATTAGCGATGGTTATCATTATCATCATCATCTTCATTACAGTATCATGATTTTATTTCTTTTTGCTTTTTACATACTGCAGCTACATCGAACAATCCAGATTACCATAAAGATAAGAATTTTATGGTTAACTATTTTTACTTTTTTGTTGTTGTTGCTTGATTTTTAGATTTTTTTATTTTTCAGACGTTCTTTACTACGTTTTTGTCCTGATGTGTCTGTGTTTTTAAATGTTTTTTTAATATACTATTCTTTTTTTACCTAGTTTAATTTATCTTTTTCATTTTCCAGTTTTGATTTTAACATTTTTCTCTTTTTTCCCATTTTCTTTGATTTCATGCATGCTGATTTCCCCTCCCGTTTTCTGTGACCAAGTGGCGGGGGTGACTATGACATTTCCATCATGACGTCTGCCATCGTCCTCCATACGGGACTTGTGTACTGGATGCCGCCTTCCATCTTCACCAGTTCGTGCGTGATGGATGTTGAGTTCTTCCCCTTCGACGTACAAACGTGCACTCTCAAGTTTGGTTCCTGGAGTTACGATGGACTAAAGGCAGGATATAAAGTAGAGGGAGTGTGTACTTGGGAGAGGGTGTTTGTGTTTCACTCGTCTTGTGCGTGTACGTGTGTGTGTGTGTGTGTGTGTGTGTGTGTGTGTGTGTGTGTGTGTGTGTGTGTGTGTGTGTGTGTGTGTGTGTGATGTGTGTGTGTGTGTGTGTGTGTGATTTTGTATGTGTTTTGTGTGTGTTTATGTATGAGTTTCATGGGTAACAGATTTTGATACAATTTTCACTACGTTTTTTTCATTTTTTTTTATATATATATAACTTCATCCACTTTCTTCTGTTCATGGTTAATTACTTTTTTATATTCTTTACTTTATTTTTGCTTTTAAGCAGTCTGTCGTTGCCTTTTTTTAATCCAGGTCTGTATCTTTGTTGTTTTTGCGGACATATTTGTTCAATCTGTCTTTGTTTTTAAGTCTAGGTCTCTTTATTTGTTAAGATTTTGTCATCCTAAAGTCTTGTGTTTTGTCTTTGTTCAGTCTAGGTTTTCCTCTTTGTTCATGCTAGGCCTCTTGTCTTTCTTCAGACGAGGTTTTTGTCCTTTTGAGTCCAAGTCTCAGTCTTTTCCTTTGTCCTTTTCCGGTCGAGGTCTTTGTGTTGTTCAGTCTAGAGTTAGATCTTTAGTCAGTCTGTCCCTCTTGTTATCTATGCTTCAGTCTACATCGTGGTTCCCTTTTGTTCCATTTCTATTCCTTTTCCTTTCTTCTTCCCTTTTCTTTTGCTCATGCCTGCCGTACATCTCTTCCTCCATCTATCCCCACTATCCTCCATCTCCTCCTCACCTCCTTTCTTCTTTGTGTGATGTGGAGTGCAATGGCAACGCGCTGGTCTTGCCATCCTGCTGACCTGCGTTCGATCCCGCGCGCTGCCAGTGGATGGCCACCCCGGCCATTCCTTGCCCACAGACGGAGATTTAGAAGCGAAATAAAACAGACAGCATGTCACAGCAAAGAACATCCATTGTAAGAAATGGAAATTAAGCCAAATCTTAAATCTTTAAATACCTTTACCTTCTTTCCCACCCCCTTCCTCCTCCCTTTTCCCATCCATCCCTCCACTCTTTTTCTTTTCGCTATTTACTGTCTCTCTACTTCCTATTCCTACTTTCGTATCCCCTCTCCTAGTCCTCTTCCCATCCCACTTTTTTCCCTTCATCCTTCCTCCATCTCCTTTCCTCTCCCTCCTCCCATTCTTTCTCCTTTTTCCCTGTCTCTTTCTTCCCCCTCCTACGCCTCTCCTTTTCTCCTACCCCACCCCATCCCTATCCCTCTTCCCTCCTACCTCCTTCCCCTCCACCCTCACCCATCCCCATCCCTCCCCAGCTTCCATTCCCCCGACTCCTTCTCCCTTGCTCCACCGCTATTCCTACACCTCTTGCTTCCTTACCCTATCCCCTTTACCCCCTCCCCGTTTCCTTTCCACCACCACTCCTCCCCCCTCCGCCCTACTTCCCCTCCCCCCTCCACCCTTCCCCATCCCTTCCCCCTTCTCCCTACCCCCTACCCCACCATGGCCTTTCCCCTCCACAACCCCCCGAATCATCTCCTCTTCTCTTATTTCCCCTGCCCTCTCCCTCCCTCCCTCCCTCCCTTCCCTCCCTCCCCCTCCCTCCCTCCCCTCCCCCTCCCTCCCTCCCCCCCCTCCCCCTAAAAGCGGTGCGCGCCGAGCCTCGACCAACACACCTGATAACAAACAGCGGCGGATTGCTCTTCAAATATCCAATTCCGAGCATCGAGTGATCTGGAGAGGCCGAGGGAGGCTGCGGGACTAACAACCTGCTTGTATAACTAGCCCCTTTTTTCTCGTTTTTTTCTCTCTTTTTTTCTGTTCTCTCTCTTTATCTCTCTTTTTGTGTTTTCTTTTTTTCTCTCTCTTTCTGTTTTTTTTTTTTCTTTTTTCTTTTCTTTTTTTTTTTTTTTTGCGATTTATCTTCTCATCTGCCTCTTTTTCTTTTCTCCCTTTTTGCGTTTTCTTATCTACCTCTTCTTCTTTTCTTCTCTCTCTCCATTTTCCACTTTTTTAGTATGTGTAGATGGGAGGCGAGAGAGAGAGAAGGAGTATCGAACAGAAGAAAAATGGAATTGAAATCAAGATCTTGATGAATTCGGGAACTTATGAGGAATCTGATCTGTGATTTCCCGCTCTGGATTGGGATTGTTATTACGTCTTTTTGTTTCTTCTTTGCTTGTTTGTTT